TTTGAGCCACGAACAGAGAAAAGTTCTAGGAAATAAACAATTCCTCAGTTGATTATCAGCAAAGTAGTTTATCAGTTTAAAATTTCATGAACAGATAAACCTATTTCCCTCTTTACTCTGTTTTGGCTGACAGACTGAAGGCTGTTGGTTTATGGTTTAGTACACATCTAAATATTTTATGTTTAAAAACTTCACAGACATGAAATCATCAGCAGAATTTGTGTCAGATACTGAATGAGCTGCCACCATTGTTGATGTATAGACTAAAGAAGATGTGGACTGTGTGAGTGTATGTGGTGTCCGCCTTGTGTTTTGTATGTTCATGTAACAACATCAGCACAGTCTTTGCCTGTCAAATGAAGATGAATGTTTCCTAATCAGCTTGGCTCAGTGCACCATGAAGAGCAGTTTTCTGATCCTCTAAGCATGTAGCTTAGTGTCCGAAGATATGGACCTCTTCCAACAAAACATGGTCACACTGAGAAAGACAGCACTACCTCTTCCCTTTTAATTTTTTAATGTATCTGTCTTTAATTTGTCAGCATTATACCTCCCTCCATCTGCCTTCCTTTGCTTTACACATGCTTTATCCTTTCTGCTATCACTTTCTATCCTCCCAGTCCCTACCTCCATTCGTTTTCTTCTATTCTATCAGTCCCTACCTCCATTCGTTTTCTTCTGCTTATCATCCCTGCACTTTCCCTCGTTGAGAGGCATGTTCTTTTATATCCTGGGATATTCTTGTCAGCAGAGAGATGGAGTGTGACAGACACAAGCCAGTACCCTGTTTCTTGTACTGTATGTTGATGAGTGTCAGTGTAGAGGCAGCGAAATGTCAAAAATACATTCAGCGTTTAAAGATATTTTAAGCTACAGTACTAACCAAGCATAACTATCGTCAACATGTCAAAAATGTAATGTAATGTTCAACCAAAGTTATGGTATAAAAAAAAAAGAAGCTTCTCTACTGAATACAGATAAACATATTCTGGCAAAAGTCTGAGCTTGCTCTTTGGAGAAGATTCTGCCATATATCATTTCCACTGACCAAAGAAACTTCATTAAGAAAATTCTTTTTTTAATATCCAATGCCTGCTTGGTGAAATATATAGTCCATCCTTATCTAATACCTCAGAAATAATTGTCTCTCTTGAAGCTGAAAAGGCATTTCGTTGGGTGAAATGGGATTCTCTCTTTCCTACTCTAAAAATTTGGCTTTGGTTCAAAATTTATATCATGGGTCAAGGTGCAATTCATCCCCATTGACTGATGTGGGTACTTACAGTAATATATCCGTTTCTCGAGATGAGACTGGTATGAGAAAGAGGTGCCTGTTGTCACTCTTTGTCTTTACTGTGGCAAATGAACCACTGGCTGTTGCCTTAAGCGACAATGTTGGCATTAAGGATGTTCACCATGGGGGCCCAGAGAATAAGGTTTCACATATTATTTGTATCTGACCTTTTACGTAGCTTTCAAAAACTCCTGGACTTACTGAAAGACTTTGGTAAAATAGAGGCATCTCTGTTTCAGAGATTTAGGAATCTGGATTAGACACACACTAATCACACTGATCTGTACAGGCACACAGCACATTATCAACTCCAGCTCTCCAGAATAAGATTTTCTGCCTCTGTCCTTAAGTGGAAGGATAAACATCATTACACTGGGGAGTCGATAGTGGTGCGGTAGGTAGCGCAGTTGTCTCCCAACCAGAAGGTGGAAGGTTTGAATCTTGGTGCTGGCAATCCACATGTCAAAGTGTCCTTGGGCAAAATACTGAACCCCCCCGTTGCCCCCTTTGGTTAGAGCCCTCAGTTGAGTTGGCACCGCAGATGGCTGCCATCGGTTCTGTACTGGAAACAAATTCCTTGTGTGTAACATACTTGGCCAATAAAGGTGATTATCCTTACAATTAAATTATTTATACTTATTTCAGTGCCTTCCAATTTTTCTAACAAGTGAAATGGTTAGATCTCCTCCTATATTTGGATTAAAAGACAAGTACATAGATGCTCTGTAATACAGGTGATATGGCCCTCCAAGCTTTCTATACTACCACTGGGCTGCCTACATCAGGATGAGGTTCTATGATATTAGCACCCCAGTGTGGGTAATCATAGAAAAAGAATCAACTGGATCAGTCTCTCTTTGGTTGTTATTATGCATCAGTTTGCATTCTGTCAAAATGTGAAATCAGTATAGATGCCATATCTATGCTTCATGATCTACAGACACTGCATGTTTACTCCATCTTGTAATGATGATGCTCTTGTATATGGTCAAAATGTGAGATTATATAATTGTATAATCTCAACATTGATAATAATTTGGTTTGTTTGAACAACAGGTACAAACATGAAATATTCCTCAAGCATATTTCTATAGGTATATACAGCTTATCAGTTTCATTTCCTGTAACTCTGCCTTCTTTCCTTTGTGTCACTCCGCACACCTGGTCTCCATATATAAATACATATCAGATTAAAAAACTACTTAAATATAAAAAATAATTAACCTGCTTGGCTAGACCTATTGCTTACAGTAAGCACTGAAGAGCTTGTATAAGTTGATGAAACCTGATAGAGAAGATGCTGGAAGAAAACTGATGGCTCACTGTGGGGTTGCTGAGATTAAATCAGCAACTGTGCATTGTCATAGAGGTTGTGTTGCTAAGCCTCCGTATTGTAGAGCCTCTGATAACAGGCATATTCACAGGGTCACCTTGGGGGTGTGATTGGAGGAAGTCAACAGGGAGGAAGTGGAGAGGAAGACAGTGGTAGTGAGGGGTGGGAGGTACAGTATCATCTCAGTGGGAGGTGGTTGTAAGATTAGCATTTGGAGGGGGAGGAGGGGGGATGAAGATGATGGGTGGATAAAAGAGACTCAAGGTAAGAGATGGAAAAACCTGGAGGGAAAGGGGAGACTATAAACAATACCAAACATGTTCTGAAGTCATTTCTTTCCTTTATGGCATTGTCATCCATCTTTGGTCCTGGAGGCACATAAGAACCGTATGTGTGCGCACATGTATACCTAGCGTTACTAACACTGTGGTGATCAAAACCTGTTTACACGGTCACATTTTGGGGACTCAGCCTTCCTTGTGGGCACAAGATGCTGGTTCTCACCATGTAAGTCATTTAATTTTTAAGGTAATGAGGTAGGTGTGTGTGTGTGTGTGTGTGTGTGTGTGTGTGAGGGAATTCTCCATTTTGTTGTAATTATAACTACAGGGTATAATGAGCAAATAGCCAAAATAGAAACCTGCACTAATTTAGTGAATTAGCCTGACACATCAGTACACCCTTAAAAATTATAGGTACTGTAGCTCCTCTTGTTCTCTCTCCCTCCTTCTCTCTCTCTCTCGATTTGCTTTTCTAAAACAGATCTAGTTGGAAAATCATAGCTATTTATATGAATATTTTGACCTTTTACAGTCACAGAACAAGCATATACTCAAGAACAATTATTCTTTTAAACACATTCTCTTAAATACACACACTCACACGCAGCAGTTAAACCAATTGCTCCCTAAATGTGTTGTTAACATCTATGAGAGAAAGCAAAGATGCATTCTAGCTAATACAATCTAGTCACTGGCCACTCCATTCAGACACACACACACACACACACACACACAACCTCATACACGATAATTTACAGTAACTCATAGAAGTGCATGAAATTACACACTACACCGAAAACTCATTGGCATTCCCTGAAGTCCTCGGTCAATACCTTCACATCCCACTGCACTCCTATTTCACCTAGACAAAGACCTTTTAATTACAATACATGTGTCCACCACACACACACACACAGACACAGATGCTCCCCTTATTAGCGATTACATTCGCAATGTATGACACACGCCATACGCATTAACATTATGCTGCACTCCTCATTTCTCTCTCAAGGAAGGAGCCAACATGTCGTCAGGATATGGTGTGAAAATGATAAATGGACCAACAATGTAGATACTGTAAGTCTTTAGTGTGAGTGATATAGGAGGAAAGAGGAGGGTTGCTCTACAACATTGCGGCATTGCCCAAGGGAAGGCAGCAGCAAAGCCTGCAGAAGCCTGGAGCTTCATGAAATAAAGCCAATTCAAGGGGGAGGGGAGATGGGCTGCAGGAAAGAGAGGGAGGTGGGAGGAGATGGATTGGTGGGTTGAAGGATTAGAGGAATAGCTCATCAGGCATTCAGAACACGTGTTCCCTTAAACACAGCTTCCACAAGGTGCCCTTCATACATGCGCACATATCAGCATGCATCCCCACACACATGCTAATACCGTTGTGGGTTTTCACACTTGTTCATGACAGAAAAAAAATCCAGAAAAGCTTCCCCCTTTCTTGGGCTTTCAGTGGCTTTCACCCATCAAACCTTTAGATCATCTCACACAACATAATGCAGCTAAAAGATGTGAAACAATATGATGACCTAAACTGTCCTTAGAGTTAAATATCTTCCTTAAAGCCTAATCCCAAAAACCATTAGACACAGTGAAAGAAAAAGAGCAAAATGATCTTTGATAATGAACAGTGCTATTGGCTCATATAAATTTGGGCTCCTCCTCTCATTCTCTTCAGTTGCCTTCTCAGCAAACCCCTTCATTTTCTCCCTACAGTGAACAAGCAGTGTGTGAGAGTTTTTTGGTGTTCCCTGCTGAAGAGAGAAAAGAAGGGAGGCTGGAGAGGAGAACACAAGGTATATTACATCAGAGTGAGACCTCTCCTCCCATCTCTTTCCCCCTTTGAGCTCCTCAGCTGCAGTTTTTTAAAGTGAAGCAGTTTAAGTCAGCAAAGGAGAGCACTCTCACTCAGGATGTGACTGAATTTCTTTGTGCTATAATCCTTAATACATTCAACTAAACAACAATGCAGTGACATAAGTCACTTCCACACAGTTTGACTTGTGTAGAATTTCTGCACCTTTCCCTCACTCTCTCTCTTGCCGTCTCTCTTTCTGGCTCTGTCTTTCTCTTCCTTTGTCTCACAGATAACAGTTTTTCGGATGGGGTCGGAGGATCATCAGGACATTGACCTTGCCATCCTCACTGCATTGCTCAAAGGTTGGTATGTACAATTACGTGTGTGTGCTGGAGCATGAGTGTGCAGTAAATGGCTTTGAGTCCACTGCCACCCTCCAGACATGTTGTTATTTGGACATTTCTGTACATAAAAGGAGGCTGACATCATTTCAAAAAGCAATCATCTCACAGTCCCCATGTAGGTGTATGTTCATAGATGTGTGCTTATGTTTTTTTCTCCCTCAGAGCTCCATTAAATGATATTTGATCACAGTGGAGTAGGAAGATTCCAAAGCAAATTTGCAGTCTTGATATTATATTAACTTATCAAACAATTGCTTACTTACAGATTTACCAGAAACAGAATTATCTGTAGTGTTCACTAGTTTGCTCCACCATTTATTAGTGTACTTTACTGGTGCTTTCCAGACAGATTTTGTTGCCCGTGGACAAGGTCGGACCAGCTGTTTCACCTTAAGATGAGTCTTTTTATTAGACTAAACTAACCGGCTTCTGGTTTTAGCTGCAAAGTTATTGTGCAGCCATCTTCTCATCTGATCCTTGGCAAGAAAACATGTTCAAAATATACTCCTCCTTTAAATGTGAGTAGGTTGTGGCTTTAGATAACTACTGTGTCAGTTACAGTATTAAATCTGTTTCAGACAAGCCAGCAGTGAGTTCAGCTTTCCAACTATGTGTGTTTGTAAAACCATGATATGAAAACAACACCTGCAGAATAATCAATTAGCATGAACACAGCTGCTTATTAACTCTGTGGCCAGAGACAAATAATTACAGAAACACTTACACTTTCAGTCACCACTGAATCATGGAAAGTGCCATCTCTTTTGATTTAATTTGTATATGAGATATTAATTTCTCATGAGTTTGATAATTACTTTGAAAAAGGGACAGATGGTCTAACCATATACTGTTAAGCCACATGATTCTCAGAACTGGTTTCTGGCCAGTTCCCTAGGGTCCAAGCATAAAGTTTCTTATCTTTACACGTGCACAGTGGTTTACTGTACAGGTAATGTTACACAGCCATTCAGGGGCAATAGGTCCAGACAAGCATAATTTAAAGGCTCTTATCTATATTGGTTTCCCCCTTCGTATATCATACTGCAACACATATAGATTAATCAGTCAGCATGGCAACAGGAGCACAGGCTCAAACCATGATACAGGAAACATCAGTAGAAGGTACAATCCTTCTGCTGTAACAACTCCACAAAACCAGGTTACAGAATTGAAAAGTGAGGACATGACATTTACACCAAACCTCCACTGATCCCCATCTTATAGCTTATTTCCCAGTTCACTGTTTCCCATGGTCCCACCTTCCCATGCCTCCCTATCTACAAACACACACATTCATAGGATCCCAGGATCCTTACTTTTGATTGACTGTTTAGTTGCTTGTATTGATTATTGTTGCTCTTGCCTCTTCAAGGAATATATTGTTAACCAGGGCCAGTAGCATTTGTACACATACACTCACACACACCTACACTGTACACACTCACGTACATGTACAAAGCAACAGTGAGTCCTGTGAGACTGCGTAGCAGTTTGCCAAATATGGCTGACTCTCACTGGAGTTGTTCCTCAGAGAAAGATTTCATTCCACAGAGAGGGAGAGAGCGAAGCAAACATGTTTGCATAATGTATGTGTAGCATGACTTGACTCATGCATCACTCACTGATCTTTAGCTTCATCTCAGAATCTTGTTCTCTTTTGCTGCTACTTTTCCATGTACACATCTCTGTCATGCATCCAAGTTGAATCTATCTATCATTTCTATTCAATTTTCTTTATGCCCTTTATTCTTTATCATGATGTGATAAGAATGGCACTTAAATGAATGAATGAGTGAAGAAAGAGATTGAATTCAAATAAAAATAAGGCAAAATGGAAAAGAAGAGATTAGAGAAGGAAAGGAAGAGAGAGGAACACAAAACAGGAGCAAAAATGCTTTATGGTTAACAGCATGATGGTGATTTTACATACAAGTCCCATTCTGCAGGTGAGTACGTTGCATTAAGGCTTTTAGTTTAAAAAGAAATTAGTCACATCCTTCCTGAGAGCTTTTTAAAAAACTAAATATGAAGAATTAAGCCACTGTCTGAAGCTCAACAAAGCAGAACACAGCCATGAATACACAGTCAAGGGACAACAGAGCAAGAGCAGCGAAAAAGAATAAAGAGAATAAGAGTGTGAGCCCTCGAGAATAAGACAGAGATTTAGGGAAGTGTGAACAGACAGCGAGTGAAGGAAACTGCAGCTAAACACACATGGTGTAACAGAGGTTTTGGAGTAATTGATGGGCTGCTGTCAGAGGTAGTCAGTATCCTGAAGATTGGACCCATAAAGTCGTATGGCTGCAGTTTAAGCTGCCTCTAGGCAGAGTGTAGCCATAGGCCTTTTAATAAAGTAAGGCCACCCTGCCTTTTATTGTACAAATATCTCCACTTAAGCGCTTATCAGTGGGCTCTGCATCTTATTAGCAGGGCTTCATCTGACCTCCCACAATTAAATCCTAGTAATGCCACACAGGTCTTTAAGTCTGTTTTTATGGATAATGACACACCGGTCAACAGAATGGAGGATGCAGTAGATAAGTTGTGAATGTTGGTCCTAGTTTAGGAAGAAGCATTTGTACAGATGATACATCCATCACTATAAATAATAATACAATCGAAAGGAACATGAGTTCTATGTTTTTGAAGCCCATAGTTAAAAAGGAAGTTATAGAGATAGTGAATAAATGTGGTAACAAAACATCTAGTGATAGTGATGGTATCACTATGACAACGGTTAAATGGGTTCTGTTTTGGGACCTAAATTATTCATATTATACATTAACGATATATGCAAGGTTTCTGATTTAGTGAAAGTGGTCTTATTTGCTGATGACACTACCATATGGGCATCCGGGGAAAACCTACAGCAACTCTCGGGACAGGAACTTGAGAAGATAAAGAAATGGTGTGACAGTAATATAGTATCTCTGAATTTGGATAAAACTAAATTTATGGTATTTGGGAATCGTAGAATCCATCACTATAAATAATAATACAATCGAAAGGATCATGAGTTCTATGTTTTTGAAGCCCATAGTTAAAAAGGAAGTTATAGAGATAGTGAATAAATGTGGTAAATGTTGATAATACATTTGTGGATATGTGTGAAATTATAAGTGTTGACATATTGACTGTCTTTATATGTTTGAAAGAATAAATAAAAAAACAAAAAAAAAGAGATAGCATTGCATAACATAATGATACTGGTGTACTTACTGAAAATGACACAGCCTTGTCTGCACACCGGTTGTTATAATAATTTATATTACACTGGATTTCTCTAAAGATTGAGAAGAACATAAAGAGCAGACTGTGGACAGTTGTAGTCTTTCTCAGACTTACAATGAAAACTTAAATGCAGTGTTTTTTTTGTAACATACTACATTACGCTGAAAGTGTCTCACATTGGTTTATGTAGAGCAGTTAATTGTGAAGAAAAATATCAGCATTCAGCAGGGGTAAATAAGAATATAAACATACAAAGTCATTATTAATAAATATGACAAATTAGTAGAATTCTTAAAACCACAAAGTATGTTTAACAATTTATAAAGTAACAACTATTAAAAATCATACTAGCAGATTGCTCTATAGTCTGGAACTTTGTATCAGTGTGATATATAAACTCTGTCCATCACCTTACTTATATCCTTTGTCAGGTGCCAACGCTTCCGCTCCTGACCAGCTCAGTTTGGCTCTGGCATGGAACAGAGTGGACATCGCTCGCAGTCAGATCTTCATATACGGACAGCACTGGCCCGTAAGAGCCATAAACCTTCAAACAAGAATATACATACTGCAACTGAAATACTGATTGTATTCACAAGGCTTCTTTGTTCATGATGCATGCTATTTCTATGATATGCTGCACTGCTTAAAAAGGCCTTTTAGCACATAATTGTTTTGGCATTGTGCCTCAGTCTTGAAGTCTATAGTACAGGTACTTTTTTCCACAGCTGATAATATTAATAACAACTGATTTAGTGCACTAGAAATGCAGCTCAACATGTTTAATATTCAACACAAAATCATTTAAAAATGATTAGGAAGTGAAAGGTGATACTTTCCCTTTAAAAGGGCAATTTGGATGCAGAAAAACAACTGATAGGTCATGGGTGAAGGATTCAGCAACTGACAAATAGGTGCATATAAAAGCAAAACACCGCTGTGGTTACCTGCCAACATAATTAAAAAATATGCATTCCTAGCAATTTTCAAACTGCTTAAATTGAAGCTGTCTTGAACATTTTATTTCATTTCACTTTTCTTACCTTGTGTGGTCTGTGGAGGAGAAAGGTATAATGGGGGAAACAAAAGGAGAAGCATAATTGAATATTAAAACAGATCGAGTGCAGCTCTACCTGCATGCTGTGTGATACAACATAAAGCACAAGTCCACTGGATTTTTACAGTGAATGCTAAAGTCACCTGTTATAATAGTGTAATTCTGCATAGCCTGCAGCATGTTGGTGTGTACTGTGCATGGTATTGCCATTATACTGTGTTGTATATATTCTTTGTCACGTGTGTGTTAGGTCGGTTCCCTGGAGCAGGCGATGCTCGATGCCTTAGTTCTGGACAGAGTGGACTTTGTCAAGTTGCTGATTGAAAATGGAGTCAGTATGCATCGCTTCCTCACGCTTTCCAGATTGGAGGAGCTCTACAACACGGTAATAAGAAATGCATATAAGTGGGTTGTGAATAGTTGTATCATCTTTTTTGCAAATAGTTGACATGAGTTTTACAAGAAATGCTGATAGAAAAAGAGCACGGTGCTTGTTGTCCTAAGGAACTTCAGATGGAGTCAGTGTTGGTAATATCGCCCTTGTTGTTTTTGATTGTTTTATTCAACAGAGACATGGACCATCCAACACACTATACCACCTTGTCAGGGATGTCAAAAAGGTACGAGCATCACTGCTGTCCCTGTAGCTCTGTGGCTGTTCAGTTACACTGTATGGGAATGTTGGCTTGAATGTGTATATTAAGGAAGACATGTTTGACTACATAGACTTTCCATTGCTTTTTTTGCAGTGTTGGGTCTCTGTTTGCATCAATTCGTGTGTCTATATTTTGGTAGTCCTTGTTGCTGTTAACTGCAAATAGAGGCTGGCCTTTCTCTTTCAGCTGGAGTTGCGGGCTGCAGTGGCTGTGTAGAGCTGTGCACGACTTTCATCCGTCTCATAACTCTTAAGAAATTTACATGGTTCTTTTCTCTGAGGCGCACACCAGCATTGTAAACAAGCACTACATGTATTAAATATTGTTTTATCCACAGAACTTTTATCTGAGCATACTGAGACCACAGTGGAACTGCTGTGAGGCTGATAAAGAGCTAGACCCACCATTTATTTCTGTTTTTATTTGCATTACTAGTGTAGAACTATTTCGGTTCTTCTTACCATTGCTAACTCTGAGAGACGAGACAGTCCAAGCAACTTCAAAACAGTGCTGATTTATTCAAAGGATCACAGGTAAAATTAACATTACACGCTCAGGTATCTTGCACCTCCAACCTGCTCGCAGGCAGATGTAAGATGAAAGACCCTGAACCCACCAGGCCTATACATTATATCCCCTCAGTTGGGCTAGCCCCATACTACACAGAAACGTCAACCAGGACGTCTCTGTTGCCAGCTCTGCAGCTGGCCATAGCAGTAGTCAAAACATGAAGCAAATCAATGTGTGTGTGTCTGTTGATTAAGTGGTGTGTAACTAAAAACATTCTCACGACCTCTAGAACATGTTGTGATATTAAACATAAGAACATATTATGGCTAAGGCTACAGTTATACACATCATAATAATAATATTAAACACCCTGTCTGCTGACAGTCATCAACTCTTCTCTCTAGTTATCCTTGACCAGATGTACCCTGTAGAAACTCATAAGCATGACTAAGCATTTAACAGTCTAACTATACATCCTATCTCCACTAAACATTTCTAATACATAAAGTATCTATCCAATATCTATCTGACTAAAAATACCTAACACTAGCTCCAACATTTAGTGTGGTCTTTTTGATTTGAGGCATCGGTTCATTTTTGGAACAGTAACACTGCCCAGTCACAATAGACTTGGAGTATTTTTTTTATATCAGGACTGTGTCACGTTTAGACAATTGTTTCTTTAACCATAAAGTGGGCTCCACCAAGGCCAAAAACTACTATTAAGTCTTCATTATATTTTGCTGCACATCTTCAATAGCACCTTGATAATTAACAGCATGAAAGACCAGAGTTTTACATTCAGCACATGTCTGCACACCAATTAGAAGTAAAACCCACTGTTGAGGGGTGATGGAAAGGTCAGAGGTGTTCTCTAATTGACATGTTACTGATTACAGTAATGCTGCATGTTCCTCTGGGAGTCTCAGAAAATGCTTTATGTTGTAATCACCCCTCCTTTACCTTCTCTCTGGTTTAAACCCAACTCTGATTTCAGGTTGGGGGCAGAGAGAATATGCACTTTACAGTTTGTGACATCTCACTACCCTTTTTCACAAACATGCAAAACATACACTGTAATGCATGGCGTAACATTACCATCTTTTTTTGCTGAACTATGTGTAATTGCCATAGTGTAGCTGAATGTTTGTGTGTCATTGTATCACTGAGTAGTAGGATGTTGATTATGTTTAACTACTATCCTTCAGATTAAGGCACCATATCGCCGCCTCTTCCTTTTTTCTCATTCTTCTTCATAGATTGTTGTGTCATAAAGTCAGCAAGTGGCAGTTTTTGATTCGGATGCAGTTGTTGTTCTAACAACAGACCTAAGGTTGCTATGTTTAATCTGCTATGCTCATTAAATTGTTTGAAATTCAAGTCAAAAAACAGGGAGAATCACAGAAACTGGGTCGTGGACTACAACTGCCAAAAGAACAATGCAGTTTTAGGCCAAAGGTTGGTAGCAATACACTCTAGGCCTTGAGTCCCAAATATGAGGACAGTCTGGAAGGAAATTTAGATTTAGTTTTACGTCTCAGTTGGATTTATTCTAGTTGAAAGAATCAACCAGAATATGTATTGAGTTCATTAGTTCTGTAGGTCTCTATTGCAGTTATTTGTCATTTTCCATACATTTGACAAAAAAAAAGAAAGCTAAACAAAGGCAGCCGGTTCTTCAGCTGATTAGTTGTTGTTAATCCCTCGACTGTGCTGTGTAGAAGCAGAAAAGATAAATGTAGGAGTTTTCAGTTGACCATCTTCTCCATTAGTAAGTTTTACTAACTACACCGGAGAGTTAAAGACCACCACAGCTTAAGCTCTTAGTGTATTCACACAAGATGTAGAAAAAACAGAGTTTTTATATATAAACTATATATGTGAGTAGGATGAGGAGATGAAGATTTTTCTGCTTTGAACTGCAGATGTATTAAAAGACAAGGCGTATCAGAGGCTCTCTTTACTTCAAACTGAATCAGCTAGTCTGCAGGGGTTTGGCAGCTGTGTTGCCAGACTTTACTGCCAGGAAAATTGAATCTCTGGATATGAAGTCACTAGGAATGAGTAGGACAGAGCAGATTACTCAGATGTCAGATGTGTAAGGTAATTGGTATAGCACAAAGGAACAGTGTGGGTCAGGTAATGACTGCAGGATCTCTAGCTGATGTTGCAGACCAGAGGATGAGCAGCAGTGAGCTTTGACATAGTTATAGTTCTCATGTGAAACTCCTGCTATTTCAATAATGATTCTCTCCTCCAGTGCTAATACTGACCTATGTGTCTTTCCATGCTATTAACCCTCTTTCCCAGGCTTGTGTGTCATTACCACTTTCTCACTCTTTTAATTTCTTCAAGACAGCATT